CTGCGGGGCCGGGCAGCGGCCGCGGGGCGGGGGGCTCCGCCGCAGCCTGGCCGGGGGAAGGAGCTACCTGCTTCTTGACACAAATTCTGTTGGCTCTGAGAAAAATCTTTCTGTCCGTGGGGTCCTGCAGAAAATGAAAACAAAATAAGATTTTTTTCCCCCCCAGTATAGAATTGACCACAGTACTGTAGCTGCTCAGCTACCGTAAATAAACTGCATCCAGAAAGCAGAATAAAGCTGATGTGTCGCTTCCATATGGAATTCAGGTGTCGTTCTCTGCAGACACTCTCTCTTGGTGTCTGGACGGTTGTCCTCTGTTGTCAGGCCAGAGCTGGCAGGTTGAAGACAGTAATTCTTACAGGCTTTGCTTTCTCTTGGTGTAAAGAAATGAAGCAGGCAGCTAGGAAAATGGAGGCACACGATTATCTATTTTTTTTAAAGACTCGAATTTCCTTTCAAAGGTTCGCTCAGAAAATGCACAGCGGGCTGCACGGGGGTGATTTTCAACTGCTGGTAGATCAGAAGTTAAACGTTCTCCTCAGCGTCACGTTATGGAAAATCAAACCGACAAGCTGTTGCAAAGACACTGTGTATTTTCAGTAACCTAAAGTACTGAAGACCTTCTAAAGCTCGAGTGCGTGGTGTATTTAATAACGCAAAGGTTTTTTTTAAAAAATGAGACTAGATTTGTCACAATTGCATTTTGTTGTTAAAACGTGTAGGCTCAGGCACAGGCAAAGCATCAACAGGAGCGGTGGCTGGGAACTGGCGGGCTGTCCTGCCCCGAGAGTTTTAACTCCGTTTGGAGTGATTTCCACTGCAATCTGATGCTGTTACCGTTACGTTCTTGTAAACTGATTTAAGTACTTAAGTTTCGGAGGAAGAAGCTGTTCAAAGCAAATACTTGTGCTGGTGGCAGCTGTGATTTGCATGTGAAGAATGATCTCGGAGTCAGTCAAGTGACTTTCCTGCGGCAGTGCCGGCTGGATGCCGTTTGCCAGCACAACTGCCTCACGCTTTGGCTCTAATTTGAGGAACGACAACTCAAAGTGATTTTCTGGTGTGGATGCTAAATGTTACGTGTGAGACGAGTCAGTTACTGGAGTGAATGGATGCGTCTGCCTCCCCAGAAACGGGCGAGTGCGAAGGGAACGAAACGGTCGTTTTAAATATTACAGTGGTTTAACGTAGTGAGAGCAAATATGAAAATGGGGCTGGAAATGCCCTTTTGTTAATGAAGTGGCTGAGCACGCTTACAAATGGTAAAGATTTGCCAGTTTTAGGAGTCTTGTCACGAGTCGTTTCTCCTTCTGCCAGGAACCCCAGAGCTGCCTTCCCGATGCTGCTGCCTCCCGGGGCCTTTCTGCCCACGGGGACGCCTGAGCAGCATCACAGAATTACTTACGGGAGCTGGAAATAAAACACAGCCTGAAAAATTGAATCTCACAAGGCACATGTGAAACCGGGGGACTGGGGAGAAGTGTGGTTCTGCCCTGGTGTGTGGAGAGAGCAGGGCACGGGGCAGGGCGGTGCTGGGCTCGGTGCTCGCCCACAGTGACACGCAGCCCCGGTGTCACCCCCTGAAACCTCCACGAGGGGTGAAGAAATCAGAAGAACCTAGTAAAAACTGCTGAATATTTTAAGCACCGAAGTAACACGATTCCCTTGTCTTTCGCTGGGAATCATGCAACTGTTTATTTTTCTCATTGTAGGGTCTTTTGTTTTTTGTGTGAGGTCCCTAACAGTCTTCAGTAACTGGAGTTAACAGGTATAAAGTAACAAGATGGTGATAGTCAGGGCATCCTTTCTGCAGTAAGACTGTCAAAAAAATCTTCCTAAATTTGCTATCATTCTTAGAAGGAATGTGGGATCATGTCACACATCAGTTTCTGACAAACTCTATTTCTAAGAACGTAAATCCTGTACATGCTGTTACATACCGTAAAGGTTTGGGCCATTATTGTAGTGCTTAGATTGCATTTTAAAAAAAAAAAGTAAGTTAAAAAATAAGCTTCCCAGGAAATGTAGTTGCATTGAATACCCTTTCCTCCCAATGCATAGCCCCCAGCTCTGCCCTTGAACACACACCCGGGTCCTGGTTTATGGCAGAATCAGTCTCTGTGATCTCTCTCCCATTTTCCACAGGTGCGTCCGTGACTGCACCTACTTGGGAGATAACCCCGGAGTTCCGGAACAGGCTCCTCTGCGCTCAGACTCTTTGGGCTGGAGTTGGAGTCTGAGGTGGTTTCTTTGCGTTTCTGCTTTTTCAGTGCTAAATTTTACCTCCCCGCATGTGGTGGAATATCCCCGCGCTGCGAAGGGCGTGGAAACTGCTGACGGTCACGGCAGCCCCGGGGTCCCTTGCAGCTCCTTCCCAGACTGGAGCCCGGCTGTCAAATGGCTCGAAATGCAGGCGGGGGTTCGGGCTGCTCTGAACGAGCTCTCTGAAATCCACCCCCCCGCTTTTAAAAGCAACAACTGCCTCCCCCACAGGCGAGGAGGGAGCTGTGGGGATGGCGGGACCCCACTGCGGGGCTGGGGCAGCTGCTGGGCTCTGCTGGGGATCCCCCCGCCCCGCAGGAGCCGATGGAAGCTTTGGGGCTTCGGCACAAAGAAACTCAATTGTGCCTCAAAACGGAGGGGGAGGTCCACAGAAACCTGTAATCCGAAGGCCTGAAGGAAGCCCCCCACCCGGTACTACTGCGTGTGTGGCAGAAGCCACGGCCCAGGCCCGGCGGAGCTGCAGTGACTGGTCCCCATCGCGGCTCCCACCAGTGTGTCCGCTGCCACACGGCTGTGGGACCCCAGCCGGGCTGGCCCCGGGCCCCGCCGCAGTGGCCCTGCCGTGCCCACGCCACAGGCCAATCCCGCTCGCCGCAGGCCCCCGGGAAGCGGCTCCCGAGCAGGTGCAGTTACAGCTGAAGGGGGGCGAGTGCCCCCAGCACACGCAGCTTGGAGAGCAGCGTGGCTCTGCGGTACCGTTGAAGGTTTCCTGGGGTATTTCAGCATCTCCCGTCCTCCTTGGTCTCACGAGCCCCCAGTTAATGTTACCTTTGGCTGCCGCCCTGCACGTCCCGTTTTCACCGGGGAATTAACATGTCCCTGGGACACGGGCTCACGGGGTAGAGACAAGGACTGACAGGGGCTGGGCGTCGCTGCCCCAGATACACCATCTCCTCCGAGTGGGGTCATGCTCTGCGGCATCAGCCATCACCCGCCCCAGGCCCGGGGGTTACAGTCGCCCTTTTCCTGCGGGGGGCAGTGGGTGCCCCGCACCCGGCTGTGACCCAGGCCCGTGGTCTCACTCCCCCCTCCGCAGCGGGTCCCTCTCCAGCGGCTGCCTGCGTGGGGCACGCGGCTGTGCCCAGCCCTGCAGGGGTTGAAACCTTCAAGGGCAGCGACCCAGTCTGTAGAGCTTCACGGCTCTGCAAAACCGGGCCTAAAGCCAGCACTCCGCAGTGAAGCGCTTCCCAGAGCTGCAGCACCTGGGTTATTCCTGCAGTAGCTGACAGAGCAAACGATTGTTAATTCAACGGTGCTGCTGCAAAACCCTCAAAACATCCTAAGGTTTTATTCTGTGCTTCTGCAGCAGTACACCTGCTCACAATTCTGTTTAGTTACCTTTTTTTTTTCTGATAAGTGTCCATGAGAGCGAGCGTTACTACTTAGAACAGAGCAGTATTTGTATCTCTTACAAAGAGCATCACAATTACTATTCATTCAGTTGGCCATTTGCTTTCAAATGCCTTAGTCTATATCGTCATGTCAGCAAAGATACCCAGACTGCTTTCTGTGTCACTCTCAGGCTCCGGCTCCTGCCCGTGACCCTCCGGAGCTGCGTGTGCGTCTCGCTCCGGCTCGGCCCTTCTCTTCCTCCTGCGGCGGTACACGGGGCGGTGGGTCTCCGCCTGCCCCGGAGGGGGGCTGCTCGCCCCGGCCGCAGGCTTCAGGGCCAGCTCCAGGCTTCTGTGGAATCTAGGAACAAACGAGCGGGTACTTATTACTGTCCTAGATTTGCTCAGGATCTGCAAACCCACTCTGAGAGACTCATGCTTTTGCACTGAAGCTCTAGAACGACGTCAGGTGAATGTCTGACCAGATGGACTGTCACTGTCAGCCGCTGCTCCTCACAGCTGGGCAGACTGTACGTGGACGTAGGAAAAGAAACACTCGTAGTACACGTAGGCGTCTCCAGCCTCCTTCTGACCCTTCTGGTCCTCCGGCTCCTCTGCCTGGTGTTCCTCGGCTGGAGACAAACGCAAGGCCCAGCGCGCGTGCGACCTCCCACTGCCTTCCCAACCCAGCACTCGCGGGAACGCTGCGCCGGGCTTAGAGCAGCGCTGCGACCCGAGCACTGCCGAGAGGCTGCTGGCACGGCAGCCGCTGCTGTTACCCTTGGAAAAACAAACTTACACCCTGCGCCAGACTCGTGTTGCTTACAGGTTTTTGCTTAAACAGTTTATAGTCTCCAGAGCTCAAAAGATTAATTGAAATTGTATTTTAGACTTAGGGGTTTGTCTGGTTTGGTTTTTTGTTTGTTGTTTTTTTAGCATCACCTCTCTAGCTTTTGGGTTTAGATGTCATGAACAGGATTGGTGTGCTCTTACAAACCTGTCAATCCTCCTTATGTTTTCTTCCATTTTCTGATTAGCCACGTGTATCAGAAATTCAATGTATTCTTCTGAGACCATCAGTTTCCCCTTGTGGCTCAGTGGAACTTCTAAGCAATGAGTACTCCGGACAGCCTGAAAACACAGACAGAAGGATTTAGCTGGAATAAAGTTTTTTTTATTTTGTGAAGGTTATTTAAATAATACAGGGAGTTTCTTACAGGAAAAAAAACCAACCCACTTTTGCAGACAATTGTTTAGTTTGCAACTAAAGCAGGAAGCTGCTCCTTTGCTGCAGCACGCCCTGTGGTAGCTGGCTGTCACCTGCAATTCAGATCTTGGCTTGGAAACATCAAGGTTACCAGTGACAACATGATTTTGTTACATTCCTTACAGGTAGGTAAAAAAGTTCTTACCATCATAATTTTTCCTCCTTTGCCAACTGTAATACCAGAGTTCCTGAACCCCGAATTGACAGCCACTGAATGCTGCAGAATAAAGAAATGCTTTCAGCAGGTTTCACACACTTTCACAGTGAGAAATAATCACGGAAGGGTTAAAATGCATCTTACAACCTCAGTTTGCAAAAACCTGACTCTGAACCACCTCCCCAAGTCAATACAGCAACAGTTACATGCCAGTGTTTCTAGGATCAAACCCAGGTGGCCGTGGTTGGTTTTCAGAGAACCAGTCTGCCTGGAGGGTCTGGTCCTGGCCCGCTGGGGCGCTGGGCACTCTGCCGTCTCCCCGGCAGGTGGGAGCCCCGCGGCAGTGGCCCTGCAGTGACATCAGCCCATCAGCTCTCTCTGCCCCGAGGCAGGCCTCCCGCAGGCCAAGGGGCTGCTGCTCCAGTTCAGACTCTGGAGCCGAAGGGCCCGGCTGGCAGCACGGCGGCACAAACCCCCGCGCTCGGCGGGAAGAGCTTCCACACCCAGGCGGCCGGTGCCAGCTCGGAGAACGAGCGGTGGGGCCATAATTTTGTCTTCTAAAAAGTACAGCAAAACAGCTCAAAGCTGTTTCCCTCATCAGCTTACTTTCACTACCCCAGTTACCAAAGGCACAGCTCAGCCGGACTGTTCCCAAGTGCCAAAGCTGACTCAGGAGCCAGCACCTTCACTTTCACAGAGGGGTAAAGCCACCAGGTCCCGCTGCTGCTCGACGCGGTTTTACCAGAAGCTGTGCGTCCTGCAGCTCTTCACACAGCACATGAAGGACAAACGGTTCAAACTTGAGCACAACGTCGCCAGTGGCTTTCTCTAGTGCTGCCATCTGGAATAGACACCAAAATATTTACATTAATACTGAGAGTGTGTACTGTTACTATGAAAAAAGGGGAAGAAAAAGAAAATAATAGCTCGTCAGTGTGGGAAACGAGCATTAACAAAGCAGCAAATGAGTTCCAAGCAGTGAGGTTTGTTCAGCTGCCCTTGATTTTTCATTGCTCACACTTCATAGAAATTCCATGGATTTCCATGGTTCTGTTTGCTAAACTGTTTAGGTTTGATAAAAATTCATCACAAGACACAGAAACCTGCAAAAATGCACTTCCCTCTTTGTACATTCCAGTGGGTCGGTACAGCCAGTGCTGCCTGGGGACTGTTTCACTGCCATCACATGGAACCTGAGCAGGTTGGCTTATTTATTTTTAAACTGGTTTTTAAAATCAAAGACATTTAGTTTCTGAAGTACATTCCTCAACATCAGAAAACTTTCTGGGATTCATTGGATTAAATTCATGGCCTAACATCCTGGATTACATTTTAATCCTAGTTTAAATAATAATGCCTGCTGTGTAAGAGTTATAAAGATAAAAAATTCAGAGGTTGAAATTAGCAGCATAAACCCACAAAACAGGAAAAAAAAAAAGTAACTTCATAATTATAAAATTCAAGAAATTACCTTCAGACCCCTCAGTTCTGCCAGAAGACCGAGAGATGCTGGTGACACTCTGGATTTGTGAGTGTGAGTGTGGAGAAAGCTGTATTACATTCTGCGTGGTTTGCTGTTACAATTTCCCTGCTTTTCTATACTGTCTTTATGCAGAGAAATCTTAAGGGCTGATACTACTTTTTCCAAATCAGAAAGGTTGCTTTGAGGCAGTTATAGCACTTACTTCACTAGACGATTATTTAATCATAAGCACTGTTTGCCCCCCTTCTTGTTTGCCTGCAGTTGCTTAATTGGCAGCACTAAAAAATTTGCTGTGTTAACTTGGGAAATTTAAGCTGTTTTCCCATACTTTGTTGTTTTGTCTAGCCCTTCTCATCTGTCTTGTAAAATGAAAATATTCACTAAAATCTTCAGGAAATAATTAAATTCATCTGCTTTTTTAAGACATGCTGGCTGAAGAAACACTCTCTCCTTTAAACATTGAGAAGTGTTTATATGTGTTTATGCAGCATCTCCTCCATAAATGTTCTTCTTTTAAGGTCTTTCTGAATGGCTCAGTTTGTGCACCAGATTTTAAAAAACGCCCAAGTAACCACAGCCGTGCCAGAGGTGACGAGAAGCAGAAAGGATCAACACGGCATAAGGCAGCGCTGTGCAGAAACACCTCGGGTCACCCGCTCAGCTCTGCTGAGGCCAACTCATGCTGCCCCGGGCTGAGCCGGGCCGGGCTGATCCGGGAATGGCTGAGCCGGGATGGGTTGAGCCGGGCCGGGCTGAGCCGTCGGTTCCCTGCGGCTCAGCACAGGGCTCTGGCTGTGTCGGCTGCTTGGGCTGTAGCAGAGGACACGTTCCGAGCTGCTGTGCTGTCAGCGGGGGCTCTGAAGGGTTTCTGTTTCTCCGAGAAGGCCGAGGAATTTCGCAGACGCCCCAGAGGGAGCTGATCAGTGGGAACAGGACCAGTCCAGGGAGTCCCGCTGACTGAAATCGTCTGTGCGCGCCGGCGCTGCCCCAGAGCCGCCTGCAGCACTCGTGTCCTCCAAAAGTGGGTCAGTGGAGCAAAGTATCTTACTGCGTCTAGATCAGTAATTTCCTGCAACCTCGAATTAATAGGGAAGTGCTGAAAATAATGTTCCCTTAAGCCTGTGAAGCCCGAGGCCCCAACTTGCTCCCAGCAAAACTGATGGGAAAAGTCCTGGCAGGAACAGGATCAGGCCCCTCAGCTCCAGTCAAAGGCCAGTTCCTTGGCATTTTTCTTATACTTGCTGTAGCTGTGTTAAAAAAAAAAA